GCTGTTGTGGCAGTTGTTGTTGTTGTTAATTTAATTGTCATAGTGTCGTGATTGTTGTTGTTTTTTCTTTTTTTCTTCATATTCTTGCATTTTTTTGACGATTTCACGTAGTGCTTGCTCTACTGGTGTTACTGTCTTCATTAAGTCATGGAGTTTTATTATTGATTGTGTGAAGTTTTTATTTTAAACCACCTACGTATCAAATATGTGTGGGTTTTATGTGTGCGTGTGTGTGCATGTGTGTGCGTGTGTGCGCGTGCGTGTGTGCGTGTGAAGAAGTACGTGTTTGTTTATATAACATGCCGAAATCTAACAAGCCTGAATGTATTATGTATCTCAATATGATTCTTAAATACGGATGATATGTTAGATAGTCAAACAATTAATCAATCTTTCAATTTTTAAGTAAATATAAAATATATATATGTGTAGATGTGTGTGTGTGTGTGCGCGCGCGCGTGTATGTGTGTATGTTTGTTTGTGTGCGTGTGAGTTGATTCGGTAAAATGGCAAAAAAATAGCAGTTGAATGTGATTTCACTAATAATGACTTGTTTGTTGCACTCTGCCTGACTATCGTGCGGCGAAATAATGAATGAATGAATGAATGAATGAATGAATGAATGAATGAATGAATGAATGAATGAATGAATGAATGAATGAATGAATGAATGAATGAATGAATGAATGAATGAATGAATGAATGAATGAATGAATGAATGAATGAATGAATGAATGAATGAATGAATGAATGAATGAATGAATGAATGAATGAATGAATGAATGAATGAATGAATGAATGAATGAATGAATGAATGAATGAATGAATGAATGAATGAATGAATGAATGAATGAATGAATTTATTTTCATTCATGTCATTCAACAACCACTTTAAATAGTTATTCATAGACGCACACACAGACATAATCGTCAGATAGATCAAAAATATGATCGGTTACAACCAAGCAATAACTTCGTACGTACGTTGAAGAGCAAATATTGGAGTTGTGCTGCCGGCAATTAAAATATTTTGATGAAATGATTTTCTGAATATGCACTCTTAATCTCCCTTTCCTTTATTTATTTATCTATTCAATCAATCAATCAATCAATCAATCAATCCAATAATCACTCGTTCATTCCTTCCGTCATTCCTTCTTTCACTCA